ATTTAGAGAAAATGTATATTTTATTTATATTACCTTTAAAAATATAAAAAATGAAAAGAAATTTTTTTACAATAAAATGAATAATTAAAGTCAATAAAAAACAATGAGTTATAAAGTAAGTAAAAAATTGTTTTTCCTTAAAATACAAAATAAATTCTTTTTTTTAAATCTTGAATTATATAATATGATGTAATTTTTTTCAGTTTTTAATTCATCTCACTTGTATACCATACAATTTAAATTTAAAATTTTTTATTTTTAGTAAAAAAATATTATTAAATTACTTAAATTATAAACAGTATAAGATAAATTTTAAATAAAAAAATATTATTTGTAATGATTTTTGGGAATTAATATAATTAAATGTACATAACCTAATTAATGGTTGCAATTAATTACCAATTATGGGGATTTATGATCTTAGATTTTTTTATTAAATTAAAGGTTTAATTTAAAGATTTAATTTGAAATTAATACCTTTTAATTTAGGAATTTTTATTTTCCCAAATAAAATTCAAATAGAGTGAAGTCTGCCTCTTAATCATATTCTGTTCTCAAAATAAATTTACTTTTATGAAATAAATACTTCTTCCCAGATCCAGTCATCTTCGTCTCTTATAATTCAACTCTAAGATTTTAATAGTGAGTATCTTTGTTTCCTCTTAATTTATTGTTTTTTTTCGTTTCCTCATATCTTTATTGCTAAAACTAATATTGTAATCCTTAGATCTCTTTTTACATTTGTTATTAAAGTTTCATGTCAAATCTAATATCAAAATCTTAGATCCTAATGAATTTTTATGTTTTATCTAAAAATTATTGAATTAACATGGTGTAAATACATATATATATATATATATATTGATTTATTAGTAGAAATTAAAGGGAAAGAGTCGCTGTACGGCAGCACCCACACGATTGCGTAAGTGCTGCTACGAGAGGATGAGTGGCGTTGACATCATTGCCTTGTTGGTGTGAGATTAACAATAGTGTCGACACTCTAATCCTGGTAACAGATCCGGTGTTGACACCTACTGATCCATTAAAATAATATGAATAAAAATAGTTGGGCGGGCGGTGCCGTACGACGGACTAAGTGGGTACTATTTAATAGGTTTAAGGGTTGATTCAATGGTTCCAATACCTTCAATTTTAGTCAGGAAATAGGTGCAAATACTTATGTAAAAAATTTAATATATATCAAATTAGATATCATTAAATTAAATTAGAATTAGTAGTTTTAAATTGTTACTGATTAATATTAAATGTAAATTTTAGGTTCTTATTATTTACGTATTTCAATTTAAGATCTTTATTTTCAAAATAAGTGAATTTATGGTTTTACTCTTGATTTTAAATATAATTTAAAACATGATTTTTATCGATTTTGAGATAGTAACGAGATTAAAAACATGTTTTAGTTTAATCATCATGACTAAATCTCATTTTATTCAAAGTCATATTTTAATTATTTAAGCAAACCCAATTATAGAAATTTCTTAATACATGTTACTTGCCCCTTGTAATATATGTTTTCTTGAAATAAGTATGTTTACTTGAAATGTTCTTGCTAGCTTGTTTTAGTCTCCAATATGGTCATGTTCTACTTATGCCTACTAGTGAGAGATTTATAAACACTAACACATGTCAACATGTTATTTGTGGAACCAGTTCATTTTTGTTATACTTGTTATCTTGCTTATGGGATTATACACTAACAAATCTTGTGCTCACCAGTAGAAAGTTTATAAACGCTGACCATGATTTATAAAGGAGATGTTGATTTTATTTCTCGTACTTGTACCAGTTTTTTCTTGGTACTTGATTTATACGTGTCAGCTTGCTTAATTTTAAAATTTATAAATAAAGAGGAGAAGTCTAATGTTCACTTACTGAGAGTAAATATCATGTTTTTTCTTGTCCACCATTTCAGGTAACAATACTAGAGATGTTGAAGATCAGGGCGTGTGCCGGATACTTATTAGAACCAGTTTGGACTTAGTTGATACTGAATTTAGTTCTGTTGGAATTATTAAGAAGTTGAGGATTTAATTAGCTATGATTACATTTTTTACTTTGAAGGATTTATTTAAACATTGTTTAAATTTCAATTAAAGTAAGGGTATTAGCATACCTTATTTAATTGTATTCAATTTTTAGATAATAAGTGAACTTAGTTCTAAACCTGATGCACTTGTGGATTTCACTCACAAGTATACGATATATGTTTCGCTCTAGAGTCCAAAGCATGACATTATTATAGAATGAAATAAATAATTTGTCTCTGAGGGAAAAAAATTGGAAAAATATGAAGAATTTATTTCCTCATAGAAAGGAAAAAAAAACTTGAAAAAATATATTCCTCGTAATGAAGAATTTGCTGCCTTGTCCAAAACAACAAAATGGATTGCTACATCGTCATCCTTTTTCACTTTGTCCGTACCGGGGAGAAAGCCTTCATTTGCCAATCATCTTCCCAAGGCACTCTCTGCGCATTTATTATTTATAAGGACTTCTTCGGCTCATTCTTTGTCATTAACTTAAATATTCAATTTAAATTTTAATTAATTTAAAAAATCGAGTTTCATCCGTTTTCATAATAGAGAAACTCTTCTATTATTAATTTTTTTATTCAAAAAATTTAAACTTAAATTTTTATTTTAAAAAAATTAAATTTTTTTCACTCAAATTAACATATAAGTGGAACTACCTCAATTCCTTGCTTCAATAAAAACTTGCATACTTAAGTATAATTGAGTTAGTCTCATGTATCTGAAGCCTACATCAAGATAATAATAACAATAACATTGAAAAAGAATTTTAGGGATTATTTTTCTAAATTTTTTTAGATAATTTATCTAAAA